AGATTAATATTTTAAGATATTTAATTAGGATTTTAGTATTTCTGTTTCTTTTTTCCATCAAATTTAGTGAAAACATTTGGCAGTATGTTGTCGCTAATAATCCCCCTCTATGAATTGACTACATTACTCTGTTCTCCTCCCCACTAATAGCTGATGTGTGGTGAGCGTTCTGGTGCACTATGGCTGCTGTTACATCATCCAGGTGGGGCTGCACATTGGTGCTAGTAGAGGGGAGTCCCCATTACCTGTAAGGCACTTTGTGTGGAGTGTCCAGAAAAGAGCTATATAAGTCATGCCATGTCCTTTGCCAAACCGCTTTATACCATACAGTGTCGGGGGGAAGCTGGAGCCTACCCGGCAAGCAACGAGCGCAAGGCAGGGTACACCCTGGACAGGACGCTAGTTCACCGCAGGGCAAGGTTTACAGCATTATTGGTATAGCTGTTTCCTTCTTTACTTGTCTTTTGCAATTACAGGTTATCACAATGATACTTCACATCATTTTTAGGATATAAAGTCATGGAGAATACCAGTGGTGAGGGAGACCTTGGTTGCTGTCCTACTTGCCCAAACTTAAAAACTACATTAATTACATGAATTTAAAAAAATTGTTCACTGGAAAAGAAAATACTTTGAAACTGATCTCACACCTACAAATCCATTTTAGACAGAAAAAAATCATGGTACCTTTGAGAGCTCTTCTATTGTGCAAGTCTGATATAAAACCATTTCCACAACATATCTTTTTGTGTCATTTGAATAAATAATGCTTTTTATTTACATGGGCTGACCCCAAAAAGGTCTAAAGACTAATTTTCAACTGCTGCATGTTGTGTGTGGAAAAAAAGAAAATAACCTTATAGATCCACATACTCATTTCCTGATGGCTCTCACAAGACATGCAGAAATAAAACAGACCCTTCAGTCCATCAAATTTTAATTTGCATTTTTTATGTAACTTGTAGCCTAACAAGCTGTTTGTTTGGACTAATGATGTAATAACCATCTTACTCAATGAAGTGTGTGATTGATTCCATCTACTGTATGAGACTGTATGGCTATAAAATGAAGAATATCTTGTATTCTTCACTACTATCTGCATGCCTCTACTATTTTTAAAGAACGGGGTATTTCATTCAATAATTTTCCACAGAGGTGATTCCACAGATTGTAATTGTGTAGCGGCATCTTATTTTAAAGATAACATTGTTGTTTATTTGCATCACATCCTTTTATGCATGGTCAATAGTGTGTTTGAGGATGTTAATTAATACTAGAAGTTGGTATAAGGTGATATAAGAGTATATAAGGATGTTCTATAGATATATAACCTCTCTATAAGAGGTTTTTTGCAGAACAAACAACAAGCTTGTTTATAATCTTGTTTCTGGAAAATAATCTGCTAAAATCAGAGTTATTTTGTCTCAAATTACTTTTAGTCCTTGAAATGACTCCTAGCCAAAGCACTCCAAGCCAAAGCCAAAGCTCAGAGCCCTTTCTCTGAGTTAAGAAAGGGCACCGTAGCTTATTAAAATGGAAGTGAAAAGTACTTCAAATTAATTTTCCTATGGCTGTTACAAGTCTGGTGTTATGGCTGTTGTACTCTGTTCTCCTTTCCAGTCACATCCCGTCACAGAGTGAGATTCATAAAGCACCCTGCAGTCACTGAAGGCTACATGGAGGTCTGCCAAACAAGGACTTCTTGACTAGAAGCCAAGGCTGAAAGGTTTTGAGTCTGGAAAGCTACTAGAAAAGATAATCCTCTTGGACGGGTTAGACTTACTTCCGTGCCTTCCTGTATAGCATTAGGAAACTGAAAGGATTTTCAGTCCAACTGAAATAACTGAAGGAAAAGTTTGCAGCAGCAACTCTTTATGAAGGAGGTAAAAAATGTTTGCTGGATAGACAATTTCTTTTGACAGAAGTCTCTTTTTTCAAGCATCTAGCTAAAAACTCAGTTTGGTGCTGTATAGGCTTTGGTACTATGTAATGACTCTGGAGTAAGTCACTAAAGGTCAGAATCCTCTGATTTTACCAGGCATTTGATGGCTCGGCTAGGTAGTATAGACATGTTTGTCATCATGTATCCTTATTTCAGTCAGCCCCTGCAACCTGCAACTTTTCCTTTTTCTTTCAAATTCAATTCCACATTCAATGCCACTGTTTGACTTTGTTCAAGGTCAATACAGTGGGACAAACATGGTGCAGGTGCAAACTAATCTCTTTCTAATAAGCAAACAGTCACTTAGAGCTTTGCTCTTAAAGGTGTTTGTCATCTCAAAGACTAAAGATACAGATAGTAAGCATACTTCTAGCTCCATGTCTTCAGATTTTACACATTCAAGAGCTCTCCACTCCTTTGTCATATAATGCTAAAAAATTATGTTGCCTTTTTGGAAGGTTATGTATTTTGGTAAATGTGTTTTTAAAATAATACTCTCTTATAGCATTCTACAAAGTCAAGAAGAGAAGGTTGTAACCTCTGAGATATCAAACTCCTCAGAAATTCAAAATAATGAGTATTTTTTATCCTTCCCAAAACAAATTGTGTTGAGTTCTGTTGTGACAAGACAGGAGACCACAAGAGACTGGGCTGAGACCTCTAATTATATCACATGCATGTCTGGACTACCAGTCCTGGAGCTGGGCTTTCATTAGTGATACTTAATTGGACCTCCCTCAAAATACTCCTACACACTTTTGCATTAAACATTTATATACTAAGAACCCACGCAATTCTGCAAGTTTGGCCTTGATTAGAGTGAGCTAGTCTGCCGTACTTAAAATAGTGTCCAGCTGCTTTGACCTTTCTATTTTACAATATACTGTACTATACAATACATGTTTAAAGAGGAATACAGCTATTTAAAACAAGCAGGCCACAATGAAGTGAACATTAAACATTGAGCAGATCAAATCAACCATAAATCAACTGTGTTCTACTGTTTGTGTTTTTGGTTTCTTGACCAGCTTAAAAGCTCATGTCATTGTGAAAAAAAATGTGTATGTTACCAACAGACAAAAAAAGAAAATCTAACAGCTGGCATTAAATAATATTGGAACTCACAATTACTGCTTGTTAAACTAGCACACAAAGAATTAGTTTATGTGCCTGTTAGGAAAAAAACA